GAACATAAGTTATACAAGAAAATAAATAAGAGAAAAAAAAGCTCTTCAAAGGTGTCAGTAGTAAAATCGTTTGACCAATTTATAACTAAAGATGCTTGAGCTTATCCCTTTATTGCAACCGTGGTATTACTCCCTTAAAAAAATTGCAACCGTAAGGATAACTATATTAAGTTACTTGCATATCACGTGTAAATTGAGGGATCATAAAGTATTCAAGGATAAATGTGTAATGATATATCAAAATAACACTGCCAGTAATTTTAAGTTTCGTAACTGGCCAGCAAGATAAAATATCTAATCTCAAACTGCGTATATGTAACAAAAGTAAACCCCTAGTGGGTCAGTGATAAGTTCATGGATTTACAACAATAAAATTCGGAGTTCGATTCCCCGCAGTTGACAGAGTGCAGACAGCCCATTGTAAATGTTGAACACAGCGACCGTGGATAATTTTTTTTAAACCAACTAAATAAAGAGAAAAGAAGATGGAAGTATTTTCAGTTGTCAAATAAAGTAATGATTATTGTTTCTCAATGCAAACCCTGGCTAATAAGGCTATTTGTTCATTTTAACGTTAAAATCATTTAATGTTTATTTAGTTTTTTGAGGGATTTTGTTTTGTTCTATTTCCGTTGAAAGCAGTGATCTAACCCAAAGGAATGGATAAAAATATAGATCAGGTTTGGCTCTAACCAAATACCAGTAAAAACAAAGCACCAAAACTGTACTGTCACATCTTCAAACTGACGCCGGCTCCCTAAACTCCGTAGTTCAAAAACACACACAAACAAAACAAGACATGTATCTGGGGTAATTGTAAGTTACTCCAAACAAGGCGGGGTTGTCTTAATCCAGTTTGTTAAGGTACTGGTTTACATTTCAACCAAATTTCTTAGAGGACGTATAAACGACGGTTTAATGTTAAAGAAAAAACTTGTGTTTTACAGTAGGTTTTTGCTTTAAAATACAATGTTGTGTAAGTCCTGGTCAGGCATGGACAGTGATTAGTTGAGAAAACTGCGATTCAGAAAGTTCAATGCTCGAGCTAACAGATGACTGGTTGCCCTTCCTCTGATCGGCAGCTACTGATTGGTTGCATTCCCTCTGATTGGCAACTACTGACTGATTGTTCTTCCTCTGATTGGCAGCTACTGACTGGTTGCCCTTCCTCTGATTGGCAGCTACCGACTGATTGCCCTTTCTCTTATCTGCATCTACTGACTGGTTGCCCTCCCTCTGATTGGTAGCTACTGACTGATTGTCCTTCCTCTGATTGGCAGCTACTGACTGATTGTCCTTCCTCTGATTGGCAGCTACTGACTGGTTGCCCTTCCTCTGATTGGCAGCTACTGACTGGTTGCCCTTCCTCTGACTGGCAGAAATGAGAAATACCGCATATATTACCAAGTCT